AATGGATTCTCCATAGATCTTGGCACTAGCCATTCCCCACTGTGAAGGAATCTGAGGCGATCAGCTGCGGAAAGACAGATAGATACGGATGGACAGACTCATGGGAAGGGCCCCTGTTCTGGACAGCTCTCTCTTTGGTATCTGAGCTAGGTTGAAGGGGAAATGAATAACCTTTGCTCATCAGATGGGGAGCCATTAAATATAAAGCAAAGAATCATAGAATCATAGAATATAAGGGTTGGAAGGGACCCCAGAAGGTCATCTAGTCCAACCCCCTGCTCGAAGCAGGACCAATTCCCAGTTAAATCATCCCAGCCAGGGCTTTGTCAAGCCTGACCTTAAAAACCTCTAAGGAAGGAGATTCTACCACCTCCCTAGGTAACGCATTCCAGTGTTTCACCACCCTCTTAGTGAAAAAGTTTTTCCTAATATCCAATCTAAACCTCCCCCACTGCAACTTGAGACCATTACTCCTCGTTCTGTCATCTGCTACCATTGAGAACAGTCTAGAGCCATCCTCTTTGGAACCCCCTTTCAGGTAGTTGAAAGCAGCTATCAAATCCCCCTCATTCTTCTCTTCTGCAGGCTAAACAATCCCAGCTCCCTCAGCCTCTCCTCATAACTCATGTGTTCCAGACCCCTAATCATTTTTGTTGCCCTTCGCTGGACTCTCTCCAATTTATCCACATCCTTCTTGAAGTGTGGGGCCCAAAACTGGACACAGTACTCCAGATGAGGCCTCACCAATGTCGAATAGAGGGGAACGATCACGTCCCTCGATCTGCTCGCTATGCCCCTACTTATACATCCCAAAATGCCATTGGCCTTCTTGGCAACAAGGGCACACTGCTGACTCATATCCAGCTTCTCGTCCACTGTCACCCCTAGGTCCTTTTCCGCAGAACTGCTGCCTAGCCATTCGGTCCCTAGTCTGTAGCTGTGCATTGGGTTCTTCCGTCCTAAGTGCAGGACCCTGCACTTATCCTTATTGAACCTCATCAGATTTCTTTTGGCCCAATCCTCCAATTTGTCTAGGTCCTTCTGTATCCTATCCCTCCCCTCCAGCGTATCTACCACTCCTCCCAGTTTAGTATCATCCGCAAATTTGCTGAGAGTGCAATCCACACCATCCTCCAGATCATTTATGAAGATATTGAACAAAACCGGCCCCAGGACCGACCCTTGGGGCACTCCACTTGATACCGGCTGCCAACTAGACATTGAGCCATTGATAACTACCCGTTGAGCCCGAAGGAACACATGAAGAACAGGGTTTGTTCTCTATGGCTTGGGAGGTGGAAGAAATCTGCTAACTTCTTGCTGAGAATTCAATTCACTTTGTTAACAGAGTTAAGGTTGCCTGGTGGGATGTCGTCCCCTGGCAGAACCTCAACTTCAGCACAGCTCAAACTTCAGAAAACAAAGAAACACAGACTTAAGGTATCCCACATGTCCTTATCTCTGTCCTCTTAGCAACGCCCCACTTGGCCCCTTTAACACACATACTTTTACTTTGCCAGCGCCACGTCCATTTCCAACCCTGAAGACCAGACCCCCCAACCTCATCCAGTCCTGACTAGGCACAACCCCAGGGCAAGCCAGATGGGGGCGCAGGGTGGGCCTTCCCATGATAGCGAGAAGCAGAGCAAGAAATACCCCCACCTTACTGACACCTCCTCACTCAGTCACATTGACCTCCATTCCCTGCTCCCACAAGCCTAGGTGGGGGAGCTCATTTTCCCTTGCAATGCTTCGAATCCCCTGAGGAGCAACTGGAGTGGAGATCAATGCCCCCCTCAGCTGCTCTCCTGTGAGAACCAAAGGGTTAATTGACAGGTTGCTGATTCAGCTCCTAGGTGGGCCTCCTTATCTCCACCCAGATTCTCTACTCTTCCAGCCTAGGTTGATTTTTGACAAAAACATGACTCAACATCCCTTTGAGTCATTTTATTACAATGAACAAAAAAAAAATCAACATCATACATCACAAAGGCTAAACTAGGATAAACATAACTCAACATTATGGATTGAACACACAGTTATCAAGTTCAAGTTGAACCAATAAATCAAGGCATGAACAATGATATTGCTTTGGAATCAAGTCATCAGTTTAATCTAATCATCAGATTAATAGAACAGATAAACAACTCATCTGTTTTAGAAGAATAATCCAGTGAGAAGGCTGTCCATTTAGTCATAAACCCCAGTCAGAGAACTTCACCCTGGCAGCTCAAGCCACACTGAAACCAATGAATATTTCAATACTGAAATCAAATGATTGTTCACGTTTAAGCTACAACCTCAAAGCCAATTAAAGCTTCCGCCTCAGATTTCACTGTCATGTGACTAAATCCTTCTCCTTCCCACTCCAACACAGATACAGCCTTTATCAAGGCTGTCGTCAGTAGAAATGTAACAACTGCCACACAAAGGATGTGGGGAACTATTCCTTCTGGCATCTTCCCACTGTGGATTTTATAGATGATCAACACAGATGTATTCAATGAACCACACCCTAACGTGATAGAAAGGTGGGGGCATACCCCAGATTATACAAAAAAATAAAATAAAATGAAAAAGGAATAATAAACCACTAAAACATGAGAGCTGGAGCGCTCCAGCTCTCTTACTCTGTCGATTCATGTGTCGTAGGAGCTATAGCTGCAGTTGAGGAACCAGATGATTGAGTAGCTTGTCCAGCACTCCATGCTCAGACTTTCCCAGGTGCAGGGAGACTAATCGATGTTAGCACAGGCTGTCACTGATGTCATGATTTCCCTCCCCAGAGGGGATCAGTCTCTATCATATATCTTGTTGACCTGAAAGTCGAAGGACTTCAGCCTTTATCTTGATCTTTATGGTTGATGATTCTTCTTTACGGTGCCTCCCCAAGATCTCGGGGTAAATCAGGTGTGAAGTAAGCCTCAGATACCAACAATGTGGACAATCTGGTTGGAATGAGGCAGATCTTGGGCTAGCATCAGTTTGGGAAAGTTTCCTTTAATCCAGCCTTTTTCTCAAGATATCTATTGTGGCAAACCACATTCAGAGTGGATGTGCAAACCCAAGGCCCGTTTTTTGAAGGTTTCCATACATTGGCCGCAGGGTTCAATGGGTCTGAGCACCCATAAAAATACCTATTTGGGAAAGTTTTTTTTTAAATCAAAGCTACTCATTGCATCATGCATCCATCACCAAGCTTAAAAATAAATGTGGATATATCATGAGAGATGTCATATCTTTCCTTTGCAAACAAGGGAAGTGGGGAATTCAGTGACCCTCACAATCTCAGTGAGTAAAAAGGTTAAAGTAAAACTTATCTCTTTAAGTAGTTTTCCTCTTAATAGAAATTTACTTTAAAGTTTATCAAAATAAATTTCATTTGAAATAGAAATAACTGAAGTCTATACTAGGTCTTTATTCTCATATACATCTCTCACATATTCCACAACCCCAATCTTTAGAGTGACATTATAATTCACAACTTTTTAGTCCAAAGGGGATAAATTACATCAAATAAGCTTTTCAGGATTAGCTACCATTTCCTATATTTCTAAAAAGAAAAAATATATATAATTTCCAGTATAATTTGAATTGTCACATAATTAGTCTCTTACTCTAACTAATAATTAACTGTATGTTTAATTTCATTTTCATTGCTAACAACAACATATTCAAAGATTACAAAATCCTATTACAGGTCTTACTTTTTTTTCACCCCCCATTTCCACCCAGTGAACCCTTGAGTAAAGCTGTGGTTCACCCCAACATTAGTGCCTCTAACTTGTGTGAGTTCATTTACCCGGCGATCACCTACCGTAAGGGTTGGTGGAAGATGTCTCACACTAGGTGGGCAGGTCTGCATCATAAGGAAAAACACCTGTACTCTATTTTCACACTTTTTAATCTTTCAGAGTAGCAGGAGATGGTGGAGAAGTGATGCAAATGCGTAAGAAACAAGATCAAAAGACCAAACCATAGAAACAGAACACAACATTTGTGCATGCTGCACTCTGAACTTGGAAGCTGACAAAGTCATTCCCTCGATGGATACAATCACTGGCACAGCACAAAAATCCTTGCTTCCCAACCAGGAAAAGAGATGGGGATCTACAGGAAAGGAGTGTTCTCTGAAGGTATCAACAGTTTTTCTCTTTAGCTTATGACACTTTGGATCCAAATGGTAAAGGGCAATAGTTCCAAATTTATCCATGGCATCCTTTGGAACTGTAATCAGTGACACTGAAGTAGTGAAGGGTGTTCTAAAAGCAATTTTACCTGGATCATAGTTCATCATAGCTTCCTTTTTGGGGTGAAATCTGACCATCGGGTACCTGCTATACCTACCTGAGTTCTTGCCAAATCCTTGGCCTTGTTTGGGGTAAATTTATACTTCTCTGGAGTAGAATTCTTCACCAAACCATGCAATATTTCATCAGTGTTAGTGAGGGTGGCATCTCCAAACATGACAAATGTATTTCTTTAAACTGGTGGCACATGTCTAAATTATCTCAGAGTCTCTGTAAACTAGGAGAGGTG